CCCCAAAACCCCAAAACCCCAAAACCCCTGAATCTAAATTTCCGCTTGAAACTTACACAATCTTACAGATACTATCTCTCAAAATCTTCTTCATATAAGCTGAAAACCTAGTTTGCCCCGTGGAGTCAGAAGTCAGCATGAACTTGTCTTCGATCAAATGAGTCGTGAAGTCTATTTCTAAAAGAAGTGAGCGGGCTATGAAGACAAAAGCTTAAAAGGGATACTTACTCGGCCCTTTAGTTAGAGATTGCAGGATAGAGGCATCACTGTTTTTGAGATTTTTCTTGAGCAAATTTTTGAGTTTCTTGGGGTCAATGGTTTCGAGGTTGAGCTTTGTGACATCTTTGATGATTATTCTGAATATTTTTCATTCGTTCTTGGCTTCGGAGTTGAGGGAGGTTTCTAACTTGAGTTTCTCTGTTAAAGAGTTTTCTATTTCTTCTAGTGTATTCAAAATTGAGTTTTTAATCCCTGAAAAGAAGTAAATAAGGTCTCTATTATTCATATCCACTAGTTTAGAATGATTTTTAATTGAATTTTCAAGTAATTTTAAACCTTTCTTAAGTTCATTGCAGAACTCATTTGCTTCTACAGCTTTGCGTTTTAAATCAGGTCTATCTTCAATGTCTCACACTTTATGGCCTGCATGTAATGACTCAGTAATTCAATCAGTTCAAATGAAACAAGAACACTTCACACAAAATAGCTTCCCTTCAGACTCATGATCTGGACACTTTTTGATTAATTTTTGTTTATCTCTATTTTTAATATTGGATTCCTTTTGCCTGATTTGGTCTATCATAGTATTTCTGATCAAATCCCGACGATACATTCTTTTTCTACAGAAAAAGCATTTTGATCTTTGATTGAAGAGTCTGTCCCAGCAAAGATTACAGGCATTATTACCACAAAATCTACAGATCATGAAGGTTTCAGGTTCATTAGAAAATCAAATAGTTCAACTCAAGACCACATTTTCTTCTGTATTTTCTGCAACGGAATTTTTCTTTTTGTTAGCAATTTCTCTTTTAAATTGATCACTTATAAATCTTCTCGGGGGAGTTGACATCTACAGTATAAACAATAGTTTGGAAAATTCTTAATGATCAAACCCGATATAATAATGACAAAATATGAAATAAAAGTTTATAAAAGAAGTCGATACTATATTTACCTTCATTTCTTCTCAGAACGATATTCTTGGTTGTCGATGATAATTTTGCGGGCTAATGTTCCCCTCAGTCATCCCAGATGCATAATTAAATTCATTAACTGATACTTCAGATAAAGATTTGGATCCAAGTACTAAATGATAAGATTCAAAAATTTAGGTACCTTCATTAAATTTATCTTCTTCAAAACTCGGATATCCAGATGTATTTGGCTGAGACGAACATCTTTGTTGCCTATCTCTTGCACCTGGAGTTCTTTCTCTAAATCTTCTGTTTATCCTCATTCCTTGGTTCTCTGGTAAATCATCATTGAGGTCGAGTGTTCTGCCTGAATTAACTCGCATTTTTATTAAATATATTTTTCAGATTCTAATAAATAGCTGCTTTAATGGGGTTTTGGGGTTTTGGGGTTTTGGGG